TATATATTAAATTGGGCAATGGTAGTAAGGGGAGGTTTTGATAGAGGATGTGATTTAAATACCATCAAATGATATTGTATGAAAGTCACAAATATTCAACTTAAAAGTCACTTTAAATGTCTGAGGGGATTGAATGTCTCCTTTCAGTAAACTACACTGAGTTGAAAAGAGAAATCATTTTAAAACTTCCAATGTTTAGAATATAGTCAGTCCCCAAGGTTCAGAACAATGCCTACTAGTACATGTCCAAATCCTATGAAAGTTTAAATGAAGGAAATATGGAACACTTTCAACACTCACTGGTTAAAGCTGTCATTAAGAGAACTTGATAGCACATACAGGTATACTCTACTTCTGTCCTAGGTAAGACATCATTTCAGATGAACACATGGTTTTTGAAGCTGGCTATACAATAATGTGGGTGATCTTTTTTATCCATAGATGTACTTATAATATGCCCAAGAAGATGATTTTAAATAAATCATCCAAGAGACTAATAGGCACCAGTTGCCTGAGTAAATTGCCTTTAATGGACTTTCACAATATTAACATGAAAAAGGAATCATTGGTTTCAAAAATGTGCAATTGTAAAAAATAGGAAAGTTTCCTTTGGGTTTGCGATATTTGTAGTGTTTTTGCAAAAAAAAAGTCTCATTACAACTTAGCATTAATTCAATATGCCAGATATTGTACTAGGAAAACAAAGACAAATTCTCCAAATAGCCATGTCTTTGATCTTTTAGGAAGTATCACTCTGGTTGGTTAAAAACATATAAAAATTCACTTTTCTAAGTATTGCATAACTCTTCACAGGAAATTTTTTCTGTTGTTCTTTTAAGCTGCCACTGGGCTCTGTGAATGCTTAAAAATAAAATGAAGAGGAAAAATTTAAGAGAATGCATTTCAGAAGAGGCCCCTTCAATAACATACTCCATTTGGGAAGATTTCATTCAAGGAAATGACAGCATACTACTGTATCTTCAACAAGGGGTTCCTGATGCTATAAAATATTCTAAAACAAATGTTTGTAACACCCTATAATTCCATTCAAAGTGCTTTTTTGTATTGTGGGTCAGAAAATTAAAAATACACTCTCAAGCCTTAGAATGTTATGTCAGCTGGTAGAGTCTGAGTTTCAAGTAACTGCACAAGTCTTGTGTAAGATTTATTAGCTTTGTTTTTAAGAACAATAATGATTCTATGTGTTTATTTAAAACTAGAATGTTTACATAAAAAGGCTTACAAATATTTGAATGTTCCCATTATAGGAAATGCATTACCAATGTTTGAACTAAAATGAAATCGGAAAGCAACTGCATCACTAAAGTATTTTCCAGCTTACCTTGCCAGAAGACTTGATTCCTTTAAATAGTGCTGCTCCAACTATAAGCCAAGCCAGAAGAAGACAAAGTGCTAAATACCACACAATTACTCCGGTATCATCCAATCCACTTGACCGCTGAAGTGCCACTTTACTGAAACATATAAGCCCTTTTATAAATACAGAATCAATTGTCTATTTAAAAAGCAGTGAACATTTTCATTCAAAGGGAAGCTTTATGATTATTGTATCTTATTATATCAATGTCCTGTAATCCTTTTGATAAAACTTTATGAAGGGACAAAAATTACTCAAGCATGTTGAATAAAACTTTAGTTCAAGCATGTTGAATAAAACTTTAGTTATGATTTTTCCACCGGTATTTTAATCTTTATGTAAAGAAATTAACCTTTATCTGGTAGCTTCATTTGACTCAATATGGTAATGTCTTCAAAACAAAATAATTAATAAAACAAATTGCATTAAATATTTCCTTATTTAGTACTTGTACATATAATCTAGCTGAAATGTCCCAATTATTCTAAAATTCCAAGATTTCCAAGAGCAACATGCATGGATCTAGAATCCCAATTCTTTTTTGAGACAGAGTCTCACTATGTAGTCCTGGCTGGCCTGAAACTCACTATGTAGACCATGTTGGCCTCAAACTTATACAGATCTCCTTGTCTCTGCCTCCTGAATGCTGGGATGAAAGACGCGGGACAACAGCACACACACACCAAGTTTCTCATTAAGGGCACATATCAATTTAATAATTATTACTGCTTTGTTTTCCACAGTCTGCTTCTCCAGAACTCAGATCCTCAGACTTTGCAGCAGTCACCATTTCCTGCTGAGCCATCTCACAAACCCTATAATCCCAAAACTGTTAATTAGCATTAATAAATCATTACTTACAGTTATATCCACTGAATAACTTATAAAGGATATGTTCTTGGGGCTGGAGAGATGGCTCAGTGGTTAAGTGCACTGACTGCTCTTGCGGAAGACCTGTCTTCAATTCCCAGCACCCACATGGTGGTTAACAACTGTCCATAACTCCAGTTCCAGGGGATCTGACACCCTCGTCTGACCTCCCTGGACATTGCATGACATGGTGCACTTACATGCATGCAGGCAATACACTCATGTACATAAAATAAAAATAATAAATAAAATATTTTTGAAAAGATATGTTGTCGACTATGAGCTCATTTTACAGGAAATTATAATTCATCTAGGCTAGGTAAACATTTGAATCAAAAAGAAGTATTTATTTGCCATTATTCTCCTTTTTTTCTGTTTATGTGAGTTAAATAAGGGAGAGGATGTGGGTAAGGGGGACTATGCTTAATATACAAGACATATGGATAAGCAAATAAAATGAAAGAAAAAGAAACCAAACAGTATTTTATTGTGGTTCATAAAACCTTTTTAATAACATCTGTAAGTCATTGGGGCTGGAGAGATGACTCAACTATTAAAAGCATTGGCTGCTCTTGCAGAGGATCTGGGTTAAATTCCCATCACCCACATGGTGGCTATCAACCATCTCTCATGCCAGTTCCAGGGGATCTAATGCCCTGTTCTGATCTCCTCAGGCCTTGCATGACATGGGAGTGTTTACATACATGCAGGCAATACACTCATACACATAAAATAAAATAATGAATAAAATACCTTTTTTAACTTAGAAAAAAGGCTTTATTGAGAATTTCGGTTTTTTGATCAAATCCACACCCATTCCCTCCCCTCCAACACCTCCCATATCTCCCCATCACTTTTTTCTGACAACTTCATGTACTCTTTTTCTTTCTTTCTTTCTTTCTTTCTTTCTTTCTTTCTTTCTTTCTTTCTTTCTTTCTTATCTTTCTTCTTTTTTTAATGGGGCTTTTTGCTACTCTAACATCCCCCCCTCTGAAGAGGTAACCCTAAAATCGTTTAGGGATTAGATAAGAACTCACAAATACTTTTGACATTTTTGGCCTTTGGATAGGAGGCAGGAATTGGCTAGGCAGTTAGAGTAAAAAAGATCCCAAAGAAAAGTAGCCAGTTTCTTGGCTTAAAGTCAAAATGTCCTTGGGCCTCTTAGCAATAAAATACCTTTTTGAAAAATAAAGGAAATTATATAATATACTTACTCCCAATACTGTTCACTGGGAAGCTGTCCTGGCTGAGTAATCTCACTACCATTCAAACAGGTCAAGTTATTGGCATGCACCCAGCTTATATTCACAATCATATCTCCTGTTCCTGTACTCACTTTACATCCAGTTACTAAAAGTAATAAAAATAAAAGAAATACAGACATGCACTTAATTTTAGAAGAGTACTTTCATGGAATAAAAGGTTTTAATGAAAAAATCTTGCCGTCTAAATTGTTATTTGGTAAAAGTGGAATAAGAATGAAGTAGAATAAACCATGTACAGTTATCACATCAAACGTTCTCTATTACTAAGATGGAAATGCATATATAGCACTAGCTACCTGTTTAAACTTTGACCATATTTATAATAGTGACAGAGAGTAACAGTTATTTCAGTTGGCATTTAGTGCTAGCAGTTAAGAACTTTTAGCACATGGATTTATCTATCTAACCAGTGTAGATAAACTGAGCCCTTTGCCCTTCAAAATCATTAAATCGTTTTTATTATTTATTTTTATTTGTGTATATGAGTGTTTTGTCTACATGTATGTAAATGTACCATGCCATGTAATGCCTGTAGCGGCCAGGAGAGGGTATGAGATCCCCTGGAACTAAAGTTAGGAATGATTGTCAGTCATCGTATAGATGCTGGGAACCAAAACTTGAATCCTCTGCAAGAGCAGCCAGTGTTCTTAACCACTCAGCCATCTCTCTGGCCCCCAAAGCATTAAATATCTACAAACTTATCTCTTAATATGTAGAGAGAATCTCATCAGCAATAGCCTATGATATTAATGTAACATTATCTTAAAGATTAGCAACGTATTACCACAGACAATACCCACCATTTCCTGAAATACACCTTTTACTATCATGAATAGCATGTCTTTGTTTACCACTTTCCCATTTCTTATTTCTTTACTGCTTGGAAGTTAGGTCTTCATGTACTCCGAGGTACGCTTTTGCCTTTCTGTATGCCCTCAAAATTGGCATGAAATATACAGCAAGTTTTAGACAATCATGCTATGTTCTGCTTGAACTAATGACCTGTGTCAAAAACAATTTAATCATTTCAGCCTATTTAGAAAATATAAGAGAATAATATGGACTTGGTAAAATTTAAAAAATTACACCAATGTACCTTACCTATACGAGATCTGCTACAGTTCTTATCTGACCAAGAAGAACAATTTGCCCATGGCAGTTCACTTTGAAAAGAAGCAAACAAGTAGTAGATACTATAGGCAATTATGACATTATAATAGATTGTCACAAAAATGGAAATCAGGACCATTGTGATTCCCACACCTGGAAAAAAACAAAGTAAACTCAATTTGCTTTGCATATTCATAAAAAAATAGTTCAATTTCAAAAGAAAAATCTATTATAAATGAAAAGACTCAAACAACTCTCTCTTTGTTCAGGAAACAAAGGTCTATAATGGAGATGTGATACCCTCTCAGTATCTTTCTTCCCATATTTAAAGCTATTCTGATGTTGGACTTCTGATAATGCTTTTCAGATGATGAGTATTATCGCCATAGGAGAAAGACATGGATTTAGCCATAAAATTTATGAAACCCTGGGTCAATTACTCTCTCTCACTAAATCTGCAAATCCTTGTCACAGTGGGAAGAACTTCCGTTAAAAACTTCAACACTTCTGTCCTATTGACTCATTCATCAAAAACTTATATCTTCATTTGTAAAACAACATTTTGACAAACAGAAAAGGAATCTTCTGAATTAATGTCTTGGAAGGGCATAGTCCAGTACTTCTACAAGAATGTAGACAGAAAATTTAATAATTCAGAAACAAACTGAATTTAAACCTGTGAAAATTCTTTATACCGGTAGTTTTGCAATGCAGTTTAACATACTCAACATACCTTACTCTTAAGACTAGATTCAAAGAAGCTTCACCAGTCTTCCAGCAAAGCGTTCTATTCACCTCATTATGTATTTGTTTTTGATGTTGCACTGAGGCTTTTACAAATAGCTTTCAGTAGCTAGTGCATGTTAAAATGATATGAAAGTCTTCAAAGATAAAGGCAAATTAATGTTTACCAACAGTTAAGGCATTTTTCTTTTCAATTTTACTGCTGTCCTCTTAGGAGTATTCAAGAAAAAAATAGTAATCTGCCATTTGACTGTTCCCAATGAGGCTTTGTAAAAGACATGAAATGACACTAAGACAAAATTATACAAAAATTAACTTAGACGTTAGAACTTTGGGGCTGGAAAGATGGCTTGGTGATTAAGAACACTTTCCTGCTCTTCCATGAACATGAGCTCAGTTGCCAGCACCCATATCAGGTGGTTTACAACCATCTATAACTCCAGTTCCAGGGGATCAAGAGCCCTCTTCTGGCTTCCATGGGCACACACACATACACACACACACACACACACACACACACAAATAAAAATATATTTGGGGAGACTGGAGAGATGGTTCAGCTGTTGAGAATGAGCACTGCTCTTGCACGGGACCACAGTTCAGATCCTAGCACCTACTACATTGGGTGACTATATATAACTCTGGAAGAATCTGCTGTCCCTGGCTACTGAGAACACCTGCACTCACCTACATATACCCACACACACACATACTCATATTAAAAATAATTAAAATAATCCTGGCATGGTGGTGCACGCCTTTAATCCCAGAACTCGGGGGGGCAGAAGCAGATGAACCTCTGTGAGCTCAAGTCCAGCCTAGTCTACAAAGTGAGTTCCAGGCCAGCTGGGACAACAGGGAGACCCTGTCACAAAAGACCAAATAATAGGGGCTGGAGAAATGGCTCAGTGGTTAAGAACACTGGCTGTTCTTGCAGAAGACCTGGGTTCAAATCCAAGCACCCACATGGCAGCTAACAACTGTCCGTAACTCCAGTTCCAGGGGATCTGACAGCCTCTT